AAGGGGCAGAGGAACTAGAGACCAAATTGCTAACATGTGCTGGATTATGGAGAAAGCCAGAGAGTTCCAGAAAAACATCTACTTCTGCTTCATTGACTACACAAAAGCCTTTGACTGCATGGACCACAACAAACTATGGCAAGTTCTTAAAGAACTGGGAGTGCCTGACCACCTTATCTGTCTCCTGAGAAATCTATACATGGGACAGGAAGCAAGAGTTAGAACTGGATATGGAAGAACTGATTGGTTCAAAAGGCTGTATATTGTCCCCCGGCTTATTTAACATATGCAGAATACATCATGCGAAAGGCCAGACTGGAGGAATCCCAAGCCGGAATTAAGATTGCCAGAAGAAATATCAACAACCTCAGATATGCAGATGATACCACTGTGAAAGATGCTGGTGTTAGGAAAGTGTGAAGGCAGGAGGAGAAGGGGATGACAGAGGATGAGATGGTAGGACAGTGTCATCGAAGCTACCAACATGACTTTGACCCAACTCTGGGAGGCAGTGGAAGACAGGAGGGCCTGGCGTGCTCTGGTCCATGCGGTCACGAAGAGTCGGACATGACTAAAGAACTAAACAACAACAACATGAGTATATGTCTGTGCATCAGTATAATACTGTACATGGTGGGTGGTTCAACCTATACAAAATTTATGCCAGCTTTTCCCAAAGCAATATTCTCGGCTTCAATTCCCAGTATGCCTGCGAGCATGGCCAGTTGTTAGGAAAGATGGGTCTTGTAGTCCAAGCGCATCGGTACCCTGATCTATACAAAATCTATTTTACCCTGTAGGGGTAAATACATTGTTCTCCATGTGCTTTGGACTGCAGCTCCCAGCCTTCCTGACCATTGGCAGTCCAGGTTACAGCTGATGATTGTTGGTCTTAAAGCCACACCATGAGCTAATCCCAGAAACAAGCCGGCCTACCTATTTCCTGAGTCAAAAAATGCCCAGAGCCAGCCATGGTACCGTAGACACAACTTTCCCTTTCCGTACTGAAGACATGCACAGACTATCTCAGAAAAATGGAGACGAACTTTGGGCTCTCTCTGGACCAATACCTAAAAATACGAGTGAATGTTAGGACCCAAATTCCATAAGGCTCATGTGGTATAACTGGGCAACTGTGTGCGCAATATTGCCGTTGTAGCTGGCTGTCCATCATTCTCCCTGTTCCTTGCCTGGTAGTATGATGGATGAATTGGGGAGGGAGGCTGTTTGCATGAATACCCTCGCACTCGCTGGCTTTCCTAAACAGGATTTGGGCTTACATGGGGCGGGGCAGAAATTCCATAATATATCATCATCCACAGCTGTAAGAAGATCACACACAAAACATTAGGGAACCATGGGAAAGAACTGGGATTATGGTTAGGCTCAAGGCAAATTTTTTTAAAAAAATCATTTTCCCCCTTTCATGGGGCAAGATAATACAGCCAGCCACACTTCTGATGACAGTTCTCACATTTGAGAAAGTGATTTTCGCAACAGTTGCACAGCTGCACAAAATTACAATAGCCATCGCTTTGTTTGTGAAGCCCAGAAACAACGAATGGGTTCTTTGCATCTTGTTCTTAAAGACTACTGCTCCCAAAACACAATTTGCAGTTGGAAGTCCGAGGCTGGGACCCAGTGGAGTGGAACTGTTTTGTGCAACCCATATAGTGTTAGTTGTTCAACTTGCAAAGTTCTAATACAAGCATGAACTAGATGTTCATGCCATGGATTTCCACTTGCATAGCAGTACCGCAGAGATCCTGGGCTACCATGCAACAGAGAGAAACAAGATTCTCCACTCCAAAATAACGATGCAGATACACCAACCTCAATGATCTAGGTTCAACTGGAGTAGGAAGAGAGAGCCAGTGGGCAGTTTAGTTCATATTTGCCAGCAGTCATATAAGGTAAAGGTAAAGGTAAAGGTTCCCCTTGACAATTTTTGTCCAGTCGTGTTCAACTCTAGGGGGCGGTGCTTATCCCCGTTTCCATGCCATAGAGCCAGCGTTTTGTCCGAAGACAATCTTCCGTGGTCACATGGCCAGTGCGACTTAGACACGGAACACTGTTACCTTCCCACCGAAGTGGTCCCTATTTATCTACTTGAATCTGCATGCTTTCGAACCGCTAGGTTGGTGGGAGCTGGGACAAGCAACGGGCGCTCACTCCATCGCATGGATTCGATCTTACGACTGCTTGGTCTTCTGACCCTGCAGCACAGGCTTCTGCGGTTTAGCCCACAGCGCCACCACGTCCCTTAGCAGTTATATAGCCTATATTTATTCATAGATCTGGATCTGTGTACTACTCTGAGCTTTGTTTCTGCAGCTGAAAAATAAATAAATGTAAGGACGATCCATGGAAGAGTTCAAAGGAAGTCTTCCATTTACTTTTGGAAATGGCAATCGATAATCACATTCAAGGACAATGACAGATTTTTCTGAACTGGGAGATTAATGGATGACCTTGCAGGAAACAAAGCATTAATATCCACAGAGCGAGTGAACAGAGCAAGACATGGAGATGGAGTGGGTGGGTGGGGGGTGGGAAGAGGCTGATGTGCCAATGGGGCTATGGCCAGTAGTACATTGTTCTGAGCCTCTAGAGATGTTGAGAGGAGCAATACAGAAGGCACGTCTACACAGTCTATGCAGAAAAAAAACAGGAACATAATTCTAACATATGTTTAAGGTTTGTTTCATCCACTGCCTTCAGTTTAGGGGTCTTGGTGGGGGTTAAAGCTTTGTTTGGGGTGGATTAACTTTTTCCCCATATAATCCTTTTGTGTGCTATACTCTGGAAGGAAGCATTAGAGATTAAGCACAATGGATTTGACTAATCACAATCAAGATGGGGGGGGGGGACAGGATTATAACAGGTTCTACCAGCAGAAGGCGTCATCATTTGGGATGCTCATTTTGTCCTGCTTCACAAGAAGGAAGCAACCGGTGATAATATTATGAGAGCCACCAAAGGGTGCACTCAGAATAAGTTACCTGTGGTCACAATAAAATCTACAGGCCCAGAAGATTAACGTGGCAGAGCAGAGCTGAGCTTCTCAAAAAGCCAAGTGGAGCAGCTAAAAGATTTGGATTTCTCTACCAGCCAGGTGACTGGAGCTTTAAATGGAGGTCCTCCATTTGCTTTTAAAACAGGGTTATCTTTACCATACCAAATGCTCAGCGCACCTTCATACCAAATACTCTGCTCAGCACCAAACTAAAAAGGAGAACTTCCTCAGAATAATTTAGCAACAACTCTACACAGATAATAATTTATTTATCTCGACTCACGAGATACCTGTTGGATATATCACTCTTGATGAGCAGATTATTCAGGATTTTTTAAAAAAAACAATTTTTGCCCCACCCAAACATTCATCAACATCATCATCTTAAAACTACAAAGCTGGAAGGGATCCTTATGGATCACCAAGTCCAAACCTGTCAAGGACGCATAGGGGGGAATCGAACTCCCAAACTCAAAGTTCTGCAGCCAGATTTCTAAACCACCGAGCTATACAGCAGTTGTAATCAATGCTGGACGGCTATTGCGGCTGCGATCTTTGAAATTACAAGGCGTTATCTTTCTTTTGGCTGGATAGCTCAATGATTTAGGTATCTGGCTATAAAGTTGGGAGTTTTGTTTCCCCCCAGTTGTGCTTCCTAGCGGAAAAGCCAGCCTGTATGACCTTGGGCAAGCGGTACAATTCCAGGGTGCCCCAGGAGATGGGACTAAAAAACCACTTCCGAGTACTCTCTTACCTAGGAAACCCTGAAAAGGGTCACTATAAATTAGAATTGACCTGATGGCACATTATTTATGATTACAGTGGTGCCTCGCTAGACAGTTACCCCGCATGACAGTTTTTTCGCTAGACATTGACTTTTTGCGATCGGTAGAGCGATTCGCAAAACAGTGATTCCTATGGGGGAATTTCGCTGGGCAATGTTTGGTCCCTGCTTCGCAAACCGATTTTTGCTAGACGACGATTTTGATAGCTTCCTCCGCGCTCACAAAACAGGTGTTTTCAGGACTTAAGCTTCGCAAGACAGCGATTTAAACAGCTGATCGGCGGTTCGCAAAGCGGCTTTCCTATGGCCGATCTTCGCTAGACAACGACTATTCTTCCCCATTGGAACGAATTAAACAGGTTTCAGTGCATTCCAATGGGAAAATGCTTTTCGCTAGACAAGGATTTCGCTAAACAGCGATTTCAGTGGAATGGATTATCATCGTCTAGCGATGAGTATTATTATTCGAAAACACAAGGACCAGTGTGGGGTCTGAAAGCAGCCACTCTTTTGCTGTGCTTGACCCATAGCGCTGCTCTGTTTTTGTTCTTATAATCAAAAGTATTTTATAGCCTCGTGCAGCACTGTATTAGAAAAAGGAAACCGTTGTAAGTGCTTTTAATATCACAAACAACAAACCCAGATTTTATTTGATTATCTCTGAATGTACCTTTAAATCTGGTTGGGAATGTAGCCCCCCCCTTCCAAGTGATTTCCACACTCCCCACCACCATAGCACCCATCAGAAATGATTCCTGTGATTCATTTCAACACATCCTTGAAGAGACCGAGAGCAACCTAGAAAAGGCCATGCATATGTTAGCAGAATTGGTATTGATTGAGGGACATCACTTTTTCTCTCAAAGGCCCTTTTACTTCAGGTGTAATCTGTGGGAGTCAGCACTGCCCCTGGCAGGACATTCTGAAGTCCAGGTGACCATCCTCACAACAATCTTCCCGGCAGAACCTTCAAGAAGAGCACAGGTATGCAGGCACCTGTGTTGATGCCTACCTAAAGGTGTACATGCTTACAGGCATGAGTGCAATGCACATATCAGGTTCCCCAGCTCAAGATTCACCAAGAGGTTTCTTTCACAAGCAGCAGGGAGAAAAAATTTATTACAAATTCAACAACTTCCCCCCTGGCTACAAGGAAGATGACAACTAGCTTCGGGTGGCTCAGTGTGTCTCGCCACTTACCAGGAAAGTCCGATAGTGCAGGAAGGTGGGCCGATCCACATCAACAAATCAGTCCTGTTCGCTTTCATATCCAGCAAGAGCAGGTCTTTTGTAAAGCTTACGCCTGTTAATGGCTTATTTTAAACTGAAACCTCTCCAGACATTTTCCGGCGAAACAGAGAGAGAATTCAAAACAATATACTGCTCCTGGAAATATCCTGCTGTCTCGAGACACCCACATCCTGCCACAGTGGTGGATTACAGCCCGGTGCGAACAAGAAAACCTCTGACTCCACTACATTGCTGGTGGTGGGGAGAACTGAAGCCGGGGGTGGATGGAATCCCCTTCCAATCCCTTCTCATGAATATACTCAATGAAGCATTGATGGATACAATCCTATAAACAGGGGTTACCAGGAAGTGCTTAGACTTTCAAACACAGGAATTTTTAAAGGGGACATTAATTTAATTTATCCTCATAATGTACTCCCAATAAATACTTACATCTAAAAACCCAACCAACCTGGATAGTTCGGTGAATTGGAGCACATGGCAGCAAAGACAAGCTTTCTTTTGAGCTCACTTCCTCACTGTGCCTTCCATGAAAAGAGCCAGCTTGTGTCGCCTTGGACAACTTGCACCGGGCCAGTGTGTCATATCAGGAGGAGGAACTGGAAAACCACTTCCAAGTGGTTTTCTCTATATAGAGAAGGCTGGGAAGGGATGCCATAAGTTAAGGTTAACTTGATGGCCTGTAATTATTTCTGCCTGGTGATTTTCCTGACCCAGTAGATTGGAAATACCATCCCCTGTGAGGATGGGTTTGGGATAGGATGATTCAGAGCATTTGAAAACAAAATGGCAAGTTCCCCTGTGAGGATGGGTTTGGGATAGCATGGTTATCATTCAGAGCATTTGAAAACAAAATGGCAAGTGAAGTTCCATTTTTCACACAGTGTTCAATTTTCTGAAGACATGATGCCAGAAGAGAATTAAGAGTTTTTTTTCCCCTGTATTTTTCTGGGTATCAGTAATATAAATATTGGTTTTATGGCACGGGTACTGGCAAATCTTTCTCTAAATCTCTAAAAAAACAAAAGAGAGGCACCTTAAAGACTAACTTTCATATTTTAATGTGAGCTTTCGCGGATCAAGACCCCTTCTCCAGGCACATGAAATAAAATAAAATACAGAATTCATAAGGAAACCATGCAAAACATTCATTGGCTCTAAAAGTCTTGGGGGTGTGGTTGTGCAGTAAGTTATGGCCTGTGTTTTGTGTTGAAACTGTGAACATTCCCACAGGAGACAGAAAACAGATCACCAGGCAAGAGCAAATAAGCAAAGGGGGGCGGGGGAAATAGGGGTTAGTAGCATTGTGAAGAAGAACCAGCTGTGAGCAGTAACAGGAATAAAGGGTATCAGTCAAAAATCCAAGAGGGGGAAAAAGGAGGGGGGAGAGAAAAATATATAAAATAAAAGAAAATAGCAGAGGAACCATGTATGTTAGTATAGGGGGAGCTGAAGAAATGGATTTAATCCACAAAAGCTCATATTATATTAAAATATAATAGTTGGTCTTTAAGGGACCACATGGTTCCCCCCACCCCTTTGAATTTTGCCTTATATGCTTGCACAGATTAACATGGCTACCACTTCTAAAACTGCTTTCTAGTGGGTAGGTGGAACTGATTGTTGACAGAGGGTTTTCTTGAAATTCAGCCAAGGACTGCAGGGCCTCCACCCCTTCTCTACAACGTTTGCCCCCTTTAGGGTCTGATCTTCCTTCCATACAGAGCCGGCCTCTTCATGTCCACAACCTCATGAGTAGAGTTTCTATCAGCAAATACATGACGTTGTCTTCCACTCCTAGCAGACATAGTGCTATATCTCGATGGACTTCAACTCCCAGCAGTCTTAATCAAGAAGACTAGGAGTGAGGGATCATGGGAACTGTGGACTAGAAACATCTGTAGGGTCTCACTTATTTCCTAGTGATTGTGAGGACAATGAATGCAGAGCAACTGGTGTCTCTTTCTGTAGCAGGAAAAAAGGGAGTTTCATGGGCTTATTCTTTGCCATGTGTCCTGAGGATTGTAGTCATTTAGTCCTGTACAGGTACTCAGAAAAACAAAGGTGTAGTGATGTGTAGTGATCTGCCTGCTCTTGGGTAGGCAGATATAGCTTCGACTTTTGGAAAGGTCAAAGTACGGATCGCGGGGTGTTGGGTTTAAAGTCTTCATTTTGGACGTATCATTTTCTTTGATTTGTTGCTTTGCATTTATTAAATTGCCTTAGAACTGGAGTACAGAAAAGTAAGTTAAAAGGACTTTAAAATGGGGAAAAAAAAAAGCTTTACATGAAAATATATACTCCAATTACAGTGCGAATCTTTGATGCCTACTTAGAAGTAAGCCCCAGAACTTATTAATTACAATGGTGCTAATTAATGTCAGCTAAATAATGACTTTTTTTGGGGGGGAAAGATAAATCATTACAGTGGCTATGAAAATACCCTGGGACTTGTGATATTTAATATTGCCAGCTGAAGGCTGTTTACCAGGAGTAAATCCAGCTGAACCCAAAGGCACTTAATTCCCTGGTATGTGTATTTAGGATCGCTGCTGAATCTACATGTTTAATTCCCTGCTTAGTATATTGCATTGGGATTGCAACCACCTACCGGGGAGTCGACCCAATGAATTCAATGGGGTATACTACTGTGTCGTGATATACAGGATTGCAAAGCAAGTCTGGATTTTCCCTGGATTTTACGCCCTGGGATTTAGGATATTTAACAGGGCCAACTGAAGACTTGTTTGCCAGGCAGGCCCCCTTCCCTCCTCCTTACTCCCTTCTGTCTCTGGCCGACCCACCCTTGAGATTTGTGGTGGGGATCAGCTGGGGAGCAGGAATAAATTGGGGAGCGGGATTCAGCTGGGGAGTAGGAAAGCCACAGGTGCCCCCTGGGGCTAGTTGAAGGGAAATCAGACTAGAAAACCCCAGCGACCAACCCCTCGGCAGCAGTAGGGCTGGGGGAAAGAGTCCTTTGGGAGAGGGCTATGGGG